CCCCAAAGCTCAGAGCAAGTGGAATGTATGAACTGGACTCTAACATCTACTCTGACCAAATTGACATTGGAAACTGGGAAAGGGTGGGTCAGCCTGTTGCCCTTGGCTGTCCTTAGAGTAAGAAGCACCCTTTATAAAGCAGGTTTTACTCCTTATAAAATTATGTTTGGAAGACCCCCTCCCCTGCTCCCCACAGTCAAAAGTGAGGTACTAGAAGAATTTTCTAACCAGTCCCTGTTAAAGTATTTCCAGTTTCTCCAACAGGTACAGAAAACTCTTCATTCTCAGGTACGAGCTACCCAGCCCCTGCCCAGCTCTACACCATGCTGCACATTCTAGTTCATACTATCTTCATCAAGGCTTTTTGGAGTGAAAGACTGACTTCAGCCTAGAAGGGAGCCTACATGGTTTTCCTCACCATGTCCTCAACTGTCAAGGTTGACAGAATCTCAACATGGGTTCGCCATTCATGTGTCAAGTGGGAAAAACAATGGACTGCTGAGCTGGGACCTGATCCTTTAAAGCTAAGGTTAGTCCAAGCATGATGGCAACACTTGTCCTTATTGTCTTTGGGCTGATAAAACCAAGCTTTTGGGAAATACAGTGAGGAGAGTTATACTCTTTTCTCCTCACCCTTTTTTACTCGGGAGAAATCCTAGCTAATGTAACTTTTAGTACCATTCGCCCCCAGCAACCTTTTAGGGTGATGGGGGTTGACCTCTGCAGATTGGCTAGGAGCCCCAGACTGCAGACTTGGGAAGCCATGATTTTTATGTGTGTGCAGGATTCAGTCCATTTGGACAGCAGGGCTGTGGGACCCCAACTGATTACTATTACCCTAGTTGGGGTTGTGAAGAAATCACCTCCTATAGTGAGGGACCAGATGCCTCCAATGAAAACTCATGGTATCATAACCCATTCCATTGGACCCTGTGGGTAACTACCTTCATCCTGCTTTTTCTTGGGCTCTTGATTGGCCCCTGTATTCTTAATTGGACAATCAACTTTGTAAAACAGTGCACAGTCTCTGTTAAACTGATGTATATGAGATCCCACTAAAATCCCTTGTATAATCCCTTGCCCACTCGAGAGGCTCTCATTGAGTCAATGCTTTGACGTCATGCTTAGAGGAGTTGGGAATGTGATAGCCAACCCAGCTCCATCTTGAGCCATGCCATCATTTTGTACTTATGCTTGACAAAGCACCCAAAACCCACATTCTGTTTGGCAGAATATTTGCTGCAGTTGCAGGATGTTTTGTAGCCTATGTAGTGTGTGAAACTTCCTCTTGCCCCCGCTAACCTGGCATGGTTCTGCTTCTGTAAAATTCTGTTTGCTGTCCCACTGAGCCCTCCCCAGCTGAAAGCATGGTTTAAAAAGAGAAATCAAACTGCTTTCTGGGGCCAGGAGTTGTTTCCAGGCACTAGTCCCATCTTGGAGGCTGATTTTAAAGAAAATGACTCAAATCTGACTCAGAGTGTGTTGCATCTCTACAGTTCCAACTTGCTCACCTATAATGTAATCACAACAATAGTGAATACATACCATGTAATGCACTGGGTGCTAGGGTTGCAGAAACGAACAAAACAGATCCTATCTTTTTCATCTTCATGACTCTTTTTTTTTTTTGGTAGTGGGTATCAAACTCAGGATCTCACACTTGCCAGGCAGGCACTGTTCTGCTGAACTACATCCCCAGCCCTTTTTTGTTTGTAAGAACAATGCAAGATACACATGGGCAGCCAGAAAAATCAAGCTTCAAATACATTCTCAAATGTTAGTCTTTATTTGTTCTCAGAGTGATTTACCTACTTACCAAATCTTGATGTGTGATGATCAAGTTTGATCTAAAATTATTGCAGGATGTGCACTGATAGAATTCTTGTGTTTCTTTCTTTTCTTTTCTTTTTTTGGTACCAGGGATCGAACTTGGGACCTTGTGCTTGCAAAGCAGGTGTTGGCACCACTGAGCTAAATCCCCAGCCCTCTTGTATTTCTTTCTGAAACATAGTCTATTTCCTCTTCATATATGTCAGTATGAAAAGAAAACTACTATATATTTTAATTGACGGCATCTAAACTTGGTTGAGCTACATAATATTTCTTTTTTCATGAATTGTAAAAGAGACTTTGTTAGCTCAACCCATCTTGAAACGTGCATCCTATTGTCAAAGTATGTAGCTTCAGAGCCAAGGATGTAGCTCAGCAGCACAATATGACATGTAAGACATGGAAGTCTTTTTTTTTTCCTTCCACTAAGTTTATTGGTGCATTTTAGATATACAGCACAGTTACATTCATCATGAGGAACTTGTACCTTTACGTGATGTGTCTTGGCTCTTGTTTTTCCCCATTCCCCTGCCCTCCCTTCAACCTCTCTATCCCTCCCCATTTACAAAGACTTTGTTTCTTCTTTCCTTTTCTCATCTTTTTTTCCTTTCCTTTCTTTCCTTTCCCCTACCCCTCCCACTTCTCCTACCCATTTAAGACCTGTTCTTCCTATTTCATTTATCAGTTCTTCATTTTTATCCTTATTTACACTTCCAGTTTCTCACACCAGAGAAACTATTTGGTATTTACACAATAATATGGAAGTCTTGTCTTTTAAAAACTCAATCCTATAAGTATTTTTTGCTTGCTTGCCAATAGCCAGGCACTGTGCTGAGTTCTGGGAAGGGGAAAATAGCTACCTCAAAGAGTCTTTCAGCATATACAGATGCGTGATCAAACAATGACATCATAATGTGGTGTGGAAAAGCTATATGTACAAGGTATGTAGGTAGCAGAGATTTGAGAAAGTAGTTAGCCTTCTCCAAGAAGGCCAGGAAGACTTCACAGAGCATGTTATAAGGGACATGATTTTTAAGGACATCTGATTAGGATTTTCCAGCAAGTCAAGGCTGGGGAAGAAGCTTCCAAAAGAGAGTGAAAAGCATGTGCCCAAGGACATGAGATAAAAGAATATTGTCAGGTCTTGATTTAGTTTAATTTTATTCTTGAGACAGGGTCTCACTTTGTAGTTCAGGCTAGCCTCGAACTTGTGCCAATCCTCCTGCCTCAGCCTCCCAAATGCTGGGATTACAAGCTTGTGCCACCAGGCCCCAGCAATTTCATTTCCAATTTTTAAAGTTACTTTCCATGTACCAGATCCTTCCAAGCTTTCACACAACTTCTTGGTTTACTTCAAGTCTACAAGAATTCTCTTCATATTTCCAAATAATTTGCACTTCAAGTCTACAAGACTTCTCTTAATTTTACCAAATTATTTACAAGCAGAAAACCAAAAGTGATTTTTTTTCCCCAACCACACATTTATCTATGAGGATAGTCATTAGCACAATATGCAAAAGGATTATGAGAATAATGTGGCATTGCCCAAGAACAAAGTAGGGAAGGGTGTAAAGCCTTACGAATATGCAAGCATGAGTCTTCTTTTTATTGCAGATCAGACAGAGGAACAACACAATTTTTCTTAGTATTTCAGGCCATTTCAACCACATTCAACCTTTAACTTTGAGTCATAAACACAGCTTTTTTGGGGAAAATGATTTCCAGGATACAGGAGGAAATGCCAAACTCATTCTATCAGAGTTTTTACATTATCAAGGAAGACAAGCACTACAGTGCAAATGAAATTACTTGTTTCTTAGGTTGACGGTGTAACTACACAGCAAGAGATAAAAAATTCTCCCATGAATATGGTGGCTATCCTATGAGCACTTTTCATGTTTTTAAGAATGGAAAGGAAAAATGTCAGGGCTTCAAATGGATTTTGAACAGATAACTTTGAATGATTAAAATTTTGGGAAGCCTATCATATGAGTATGTGATACATATGATCTCTGAAGAATTTTTAAAGACAAGGTTGCGAACTACACACTGTTGGTGCGATCTAATCCACCACCTGTTTCACCACTCCTGTGAGCTAAGAATAGTTCTTGTATTCTTAAATGCTTGGGAAAAAAAGTCAAAAGAAGACGTGATAATCATCAGAAATTCAAATTCCACCATCTATAAATGAAGTTTAATCAGAACCCAGCTTACCATTCATTTTGTATTGGCTGCATTGATGCTATCACCGTACAGCTGAGTGTAATAGAGGTCTTTCAGCCCACAAAGAAATCTGCTTCTTTCCAGAGAATATTTGCTCACCCTTGGTTTAAGAGCTTTTTTGCTGAAGAAACACAAGACTTCCATAAACCGAAGACTTCTTGGAGATGAGGGACACTGACTTTCATCTCCAAGAAGTCTTCAGTTTATCATATAGCTCTTAGAAAGATACTGATATCACAGAATAGATCAAGAGGCATGCTTTCACTCTGTGTAGGATGTTTATTTTCCCATCCTGCGTCAGTGGAGCATATTATTAAGAACATGTGTTTTAAGGTCTCTCTTATCCCTTGCATCTTAATTAGCTTTCTGGGATGTTGAGCTATTCTCTTGTAAGCCTTAGGCTTCCTATAGAAACAAAATAATGATGATACCAACTTCGCAGAGTTGTGGTACCAAGCAGGTAAGTGAAGTGAGTCCTTTCAGAGGACTAACTTAGGTACACAGTAGATGTGTAATGAGTTTTACCATGATTACCACCATTCTCTGCAAACATCACTTTCACTTTTTGGTATTCCACTCCTAGGAATGCTTTTAACTTCTTTGATGAGGAAATCCATAAGATTCTGCCGACATAATTTCCCACAGCCAGGGCACCTCCATCTGCACCACTGTCTGCACAAAAACTGTTTCCAGCTGCATGGATCTAAGAGCACACTTGACAGGAGAGTGGGAAAACCAAAATCATGATGTTGGCTAATTGATTTTGGAAGGCTGTTCAGCAATTGGGTTATGATTTCTGAGCAGCATATTGGAATATCTGTGATGGGTGCTGTGGAAAGCTCTGCTGATTTAGCGGTTAAATTCTTTTTTATAGTGAATGAGTTTGTCATTTTATCCCATTTTATGTTAGCTTAACATTGACATTCCTCGTTTATTATTTCCTACCAGAAAAAAGTTCTTAGAAAATCACAAAGGTGCCATGCTGGGAAACGTGGCACTTTCTCTCACACTGGCCTTGCTGACCTGAGCTCACTCTGCCTTTGGGACCGTTAGACTCCAGTTTCCTGGGGAGGACCCAGGGCCCAGTGAACTCTCGGGACCTCAACTACAGTGCTGCTTCTCTCATCTATAATAGTGCTGAGCAGGCTCAGCACAGACCTCTTCTGCTCAGCAGGGGTGCTCTGCTACAGAGGATGAGAGCCCTCTTTCCTTGGTCTTCACAAAACATATCTGCCTAAACAAAGCAAAAGGGAAGAGGAATGGCCTCCCCACCTAACGATACTCTTGTAGCTCCTTGTCCCCAAAATTAGCTAAAGAAATATCAGAATTCCAGAAAGTAGCAGATGTCTTCTCTTGGAAACAGAATTTCTGTAGGTACTCTGCCCCCCACACATTATTTTTAACCACATCACAGGTTTTTTTGTTTTTTGTTTTTTGTTTTTTTTTACAAATCTCACTTGTTTTTGCTTCCTGCATTTTGTGGTCTTGACACACTGTTTTGAAGAAACTACCTTCAAATTTTTTTCTTGCTCCTCAACTATGGTTGAGCAGGAACTGTTAATAAAATGTAGCCACTCAAAAGAAGCACAAAATATTTCAGAATTCTTGCGCATTCTAATTCATGGTTAAGAAGATGAACAGGCATGTACACACATCGGCTTGGTGTGTGGATAAAACCAATCCATTAGTGCTCGGGGGTGGGTGGGCCGTGGTCACTAGTAGGAGTAACTCTCATCGTCATATTCCAGCTCGACCTCATCATCATCATCCAGCAGCCCATACTTAAACTTCCGGTAGACAGTGCCGTCTTGGCCCATGTAGACGATGTCGTCGTCGTCATCATCATCTTCATCATAGTCCCTGTCCCTGTACTCAATCACCTGGTCCTCCTCAAAGCTGGTGTTCTCGTGATAACTGCTCTTGTAGGAATAGGCCTTGGCGGGGTCAGCCAGCTTTTCATAGCGGGCCTTCTGTACGGGCTGGGCGCGGCCCCGAGACTTCTTCCAGACAAGCACAGCGGCCCCCAGCAGAAGCACCAGTATGATGGTGGAGGTGATCAGCAGAGCCGTCTTGGCATGCTCAGAAGCAGGCTTGGCCTTGGTCGGAAGGATGCACTCCTCTGTTGAAAGATGATCCCAGAGGCAAAGGAGAGAGGGAAAAAGTGGGAGAGAAGAAACAGAATTGGGAAAACTGGTTTCTGAGGTGAAGAACTTCAGGTTTACTTTACCTCTTAAATGATAGAATCACTGTCTGTAGTTTTTCTTAGGGGACCACTCTACAAAACTGCCTATGTATCCCAGGCACCCAGTCCTTATCTCAAAAAACAAAAACAACAACAACAACCAAAAAAACCAAGTCCTTCTAGAAAGGTTAGTCTGAGATCCAAAGTCTCCAAGTATCCAACCTTCTCAATCAATTCTTCTATTTCCCTCCTGAGAAAAGGTTTCACTATGGCTAAAGGTAACTCTGATTTTCCTCAAACTGAGTCCTTTCCCAGCTACCTGTCAGCCTGATTCAAGATGACTGTTCCATTCTGCGAGGGCAGAAGGTAATGTGTAAAACTACTGACTCTTAAAGTCATGAGGGGTCGTAGAAATTACTTAGGTCAATTTGTTGTGACAGTGGAGGAAACCAAGGCCCCTGGAGAAGTAAATTGCAGTATTGTCGAAGAGAAGACCTCCTCCGTGGCACACCTGGAATTCCAGTCTATCTAAACTCTGTGAGCCTTTTAGAGACATTAAGGCAAAATGATCTGACAACTGTGTTTTGGCCTCTTGGAATTTCATGGCCATCAGCTGGCGAGAAAAGAAGTACTGTGCCATTTTTAATGCTGTGTGCCAACTTTAGTGATAGGTGATTTTATCCATCATACTTAAGCTTTCTGAGCTCTGCCCCTTCTTACCCACAAGCCTCTGTTTCCTTTCTGTATTGACAACGTGGAGTAATCAAATCAGTGCCACAGAGAGAAAGATTAAGACGTAACTTTAGCAAACAGCTTGTTTTTCTTACTTTGCACTCATTCATTCAGTTGGTATGACTTGACTTATTTACCTAATTTGCTTTCATGTTATTTAATTTAGCTCGTATTTGTAGGAGTATGAAAGATAGTATAAAAAACTAGATAAAATATTCTCAGGCCAGGTTGGAGATACAAGGTCAAGTACTCAGCAGGTTCTCTATAAAGATTTTAGAGCCACTGACCCGCCCCCAGGATTCTTTTATGAGAGATTCTAAGTACTTTCACTGACAGTCTAACTTAATGATATAATCTGCTGCCAGGTGCAATGACTTTTTGCTTATAGATCTGATTAGTTAGAGCTGACTCACCATCAACATCTTTTTTTGTTGTTACTGCTAAACAAGTTTTCTGTTTTATTCTCACTCTCTTTCTCAGAGGATTTTGGCCATCATGTAGAATTTCCTTCTCTAAAGTAATAGCACTCTTATTATTTTATCATCATTACCATTATCAGCACAGAATTTTCCCCTGGAGAAAATTAAAACCAAATGCATAAATAAGCAACTTGTGTGTGGTACTCTGAGGTAAATACTGCCTGAAGGAAGAGAAGTAACATAAGATCCTTTGAGGTTGTTTCACTGAGTGGGATCCATGTGCAGTAATGTCTTACGCTCTATTTTCTGTCATAGGCTGCAGAGTCAGGGCAGCCTCTGTTGATCTGGTGTCTTTGAAGGGGAAGACAGTCTCAAAGGAGCAAGTAAGCAAGAGAAGAGTGTTTGCTGTTTACATCTTTGCCATGTGAATGCTAGCTAGCAAGCACGCTACAGACTGAGCTATGCTCTAGCCCATGAGTCTGGATATTTTTCAGAGTTGCCACAGGTGCCTCTTTAAGAGCCTCCAAGAAACTAGGGAAATTATTAAACAGTTCTTCATTGGAACAAACTTTCAGAAACCACGCTCCATATCCCCACACTTCTGGTTTCATTTAACTGTGCTGACATAAGAAGGGTTATTATTCTTAGCTAGCACAGTGCAGATACTGGACAATCAGACACTAAAGGTGGATATGTGCAAGAACTGCGAAAGCCACTGCTTGCAGAGGTGGAAAATTAATTTTGGGAAAGAAGGTATTAAGAACCTAATTGCAAAAGGTGATAGAAAAGTAAAAAATAGGACTTTCCTGCAATGTGCAAAAATCTCGGTTCAACCCTCACTAGTGCAAATAAATAAATACTAAATAAATCAGTAAGGAACATCTATTTCTGGGCCACAGAATATATTTGAAGAGCGCACAAGCTTGGTGTTGCCATGTGCACATGTAGTCCCGGCTACTCGGGAGGCCGAGGAGGGGGCTTGCTGGAACTCAGGAATTTGAGACCAACCTGGGAAAGATATAGAGACTGCCATCTCAGAAATTTAAAACTGTATGTTTTCCTTCAAGTGAAATCACTCCAGTAAAGATCTAAGTTTGCAACCAATGAGAACCAGAATATCTATGCAGATGGGGTTGGAGGTTGGAAGACAATTTTGGACTGGGAATTGATGAAAGGCATTTTGTGCCTTACCCTTCAATGAAGATATATTTCTAGAATGTCTTAAGACTCTAACACAAACCCTAGATTTGGGCTGACTTACATGGAATGATTCTTCAACAGGATCAGGATAATATTGTCGTCAGCTGCTGTAATAGCTAATCCCTTTCAGGGTTGGGGATTTAGCTCAGTGGCTATGTGACTTGCTCCCCCATTTGACCCCCACTTAATATTACCTGGGTGACTGTACTTGTAATCTGATTGGTTGGCCATGGTTTTGCCCCACCTCATGCCCACCTTGTAATTTTCCATTGGGTCTTACAGTTTTGTCCCACTTTGTACCCGCCTCCCCACATGGCTTTGCTGTATAAAACATCCTTGAAAAATAGGGTGAGTGGACAACTCACTTTCTGGTCCTCTTCTGTCTCTCTTAGAAGCTTTCTTTCCCTTAATAAATTGATCCTACTCAAAAAAAAAAAGGGGGGGGGGTTGGGAATGTAGCTCAGTGTGAAAGCCCTGGATTCGATTCCCAGTACCAATAGCTAATTCCTTTCTTTCTTTCTTTCTTTTTTTTCCCTAGGAGGGAAGAATAAAGGAACAAATTAAACGTATGAAAATGTAATTCCAGGCTTATGTGAACTCTACTCTGGGAAGCAGCAGCACAGTGGTGAAACGACCGTGGACTTTGCAGTCTGAGATTCACATTCCAACTCCACGCGAGCCTCCTAATACTGATGTGGACTGAGTCTGCCAATCAAACCTTTTGAGTCTCAGTCTCCTCATCTGGAAAATGGAGTTCGTAATATCCCTTAAGAAATGGGAAAATGTGTGCAAGGGTTCAGGTACAGTAGGCACAGGGAAGGCACTCATTAGAAAAGTAGCCTCAGGCCGGGTGTGATGGTACACGCCTGTAATCCCAGCACTCGGGAGGCTGAGACAGAAGGATCCTGTGAGTTCCAGACCAGCCTGGGCTACATAGTGGGTTCCAGGTCAGTCTCAACTACATAGTGAGAACCTGTCTCAACAAACCAAAACCAAACAAACAGACAAAGGTAGCCTCATTGATCTTCCTGAGATCTCCTCCCCTCCCACTGCTCCCATGAACTTTCTGAGGCCTTGGCCTTCCTCTGCCCTCACCCATGGTCTCCTGGCAGTCACAGCACTCTTGGGCAGTAGTGGGGTGGGAGGTGTTGCAACACTGCAGGCAACGGCTATCTTCCAGGTGCAGCAGCAGAGGGGCGGAGCACACGGTGCAGTTCTCGGTGCCAGGACCCTTGCATTCCATGCAGCTCTCATGGCATTTTTCACAGGTAAATTTTTCTCCCTGTCAAGATCAACAAGGATCCTTGAGTGCAGGGGGATTAACAAGGCACTGGAGTTCCTAAATAGGAATTTCACCTTGTCTCCATAAGGCAGGAGCCATGTGGGAACTGCAGAAACATGGTGTGTTCTGGGTCCATTTTCACTGTGCTGTGTGTGCAAGAACTAACTGTCTGCTACTTGAGGGACCCAGGCCGGGCCCTGACCTTTGAGATCTGCAGTAGGGAACAGGCTTCCAGCACAATTTCTTATTAAGTGACAGATTCTGTGCTTGGGGACAGCTCAGGTAGGAATTAGCTTTGTCTGGTCCACATGATATAGACTTTCTTAGTATTAAACGTTCTGCATTCATTTCCCATTATATCAAAAGTGTGATGTTTCACATATAATCAGTTCCTAGTTTCTCTTTAGAATCTAGAAGACCTGTCAACGCTGGAGTCCTCACTCCCACATGGCAATGTCGCCAACAGAGCTGAGAGGCATGGCACACATTTGATGCGCTCCTATTTAATGCAATTTCCAGCACTTATTATTGTGTCACCGAGACGCATGAATTCCCACTGTCTGCCAGGCTTGCCACTGACCTAGCATCCTTTCCATTAGTTACCTGCTTAGCTTCTGTGATTGCTGGATTCTTGTGGCCAAGACCCAGAATGATATCAGTGGTGACTCTGTAACTGAAGTAGTTAAATCTCACTGGGGAAGAGTCCAGAAATTAGAAAAAAAAAAGTGGCTTCCCTCCCTGCATGTTGCTCCTTGCCTGGTGCTAGAAACCCGGGTTAGGGAAGATACCTTCTAATCCTACTTCTGCTAACTTTGGAAAACTGGTAAAATAGAAAAGGAAGAATGGCAGAAATGGGCAGCTCAGTGGTAGCACATTTACCTAGCATGTATGTGATCCTAGGATTGATTCCCTGGACTATGATCAGCCAAAAAAAAAGAATGGAAATTGCATCGTTGAACATCTTGGCACATTACAGATGCTGAAGTGTTTCCTCAGCTGTTATTTAATCAAATTTTCTCTGTTTAGTTCCAGTTTTGTTACTACTCATGAGATCTTTAACAGATTATTTAACTTCTGAGCCTCAGTTTCTCCAAACTGTAACGAGGGCTGATACCAGAATTTAAAGAGAGCTCATATCTGGATATGCTAGTTTGAGTTGATGTCACCATGAAGAGTCTTATTCACTTGTTAAATTTTGGAGACACAATTTAGAAATTAGTGGACTCAAAAAATCCATGGCTTTTATGCAAACAGATGAATCCGTCTTACTACACTATGAAGAAGGGCAGGAAATGAAAGAGAAACACGTGTGTGATTCTTGCCTTATTCACATGTTTCTGGTTAGACAGTACAGGGTCAAAGAGAAGACAGTTTGTGCTCCTGAAATAACATTCTCATGTAGACTAAAACCTCTAGAATCATGAAAAACCACGAGAGGGTTCATTCTGAGGCTCCTCTCACTCTATTGCCCCATTATTTATCTTAGATCTGCTCAATTCCTGTGAAGTCTACAGTAAGGGCAGCACTACTATTTCATTATTCATGGGAAAAGATTTTACAGTGTTTTGTGGTGAACACTTTTAAACTACAGTGAGTGATGGAACTTTAGGGTTTTCTGATTGTTCCAATCGACATTCAGAAACTGAGTTTATGTTCCTTTCTAGAGGGGACGGAAGACACCCAGGCCCAGTTCTCAGTACCTCTCCCACTCTGTATTTCCCCACAAAACAGTCCAAGGTGCACAGTCCTCCCATGAGGTGGTAGTTCCACACACAGGACAAGCAGTTCAACGCTCCTTTTCCTGAAAGCAAAAAACAATTCCAATTATGAGACCAACCTCAGATTTCAACCTCTGGCTTGGTTCCAGAACACTCAGGAGCAAGGAATACGTCAAGTAAATTGAAGAAGATATTGATAGAGGATATTTAAAAAGGTCTACAAGGCAAAGAAAAGACTTACAGATTATCTCCTTAGTCTTGTCTACATATACTCTCAGTCTGGAAATTGAGGATTCGGAGATGACATATTTTATAACAGCAAGAGAAGAAGTTTTCAGAGAGTGATAAACCATGCAGAAAAGTTTATAATACCTTTCTTTGAGCTGATTACTGTTTAACTATGAGGAGGATGACAGCAGCTGGTATAGGGGATCCCAGTCTGCAAGGGCAGGTCTTGAGTTGAGAGTTCCTCACTGAGAAACAGCACTGGACCGGGATGTGAAGTTCTAAGGCTGAAAAAACTAGGAATTTTATCCAGTGATTCTTACTTCTGGAAGAGGTGATAGTGGAGATAGATTCTTTTGGAACTCTCTTAAAAACTATGACCTCTCTTCTCAATTTTCCATCCTTTTTACTTCTCATTTTTTAACTACATAAACACTACCAATAAGACTCAATCATGCAATGCCACTCATCCAAGGTTACAGAGGCAATGGTCAAATCAAGATTCAAACTCAGGTTTGTCGACTCACAGTACAGTGCTTTTTCTACCACTCTTATCTGCCTTAACTCTTGAATCACCAAATAGGGAAGCTCTGATTCTAGAACCTGTTCTGGGTGGAGACAACATCTGTCTTTCCTAATGCAGACATTCCAAGAACAACTGACCCAAATATTTCCTTTGTGCTTACTTGAAAGAGTTGGGGACAAGAGACCTGAACTCCTATCCATTTTATAAGGAAGGCCCTGGCATTCCCCTAGTAATTTAAAGCAGGAATATGGCAGAGATTGGCACAGAGCACATTCAGATAAACTGACTTTTATTGTCTGATCTGAGAGTTTAATCCTTTTTGTTGTCTCTATTTCCCTTTAGGATTTTTTGACATTGGGATTTGAACCCAGGGACATTCTCCCACTGAGGGACATGCCCAGCCCTTTTTATATTTTATTATTTTGGGACACTGACTTGCTAAATTGCCCAGGTGGGACCTGAACTTGTGATCCTCTTGTTGCAGCTTCTCTAAGTGCTTAGATTATAGATTTACAACATTATGCCTGGGTGAACTTAATAATTTATAATGTTTCTATGAAAAAAATGAATTCTGAGCACTGAGCATCTTAAAGAATAAACCATTAGGACTCAACTGATTGTGAGGTAGGGGGTTGTTTGCAGTGGTATAAATCCACAGCTACTCCATTTTCATTTTAGCTCGAGCTTCACACAGAATTTCTGCATATTCTGGAACATAATTGTGGTCTCTGATGAAAGAATAAAATTTTTACCACCATCTTTTTTTTCCTCTCCCACAATTTCTTAAAATAAAGCTTAGATGGCTTACTCCAATGTTTTAAATACAAAAAGTTTTATTTTAAAAAAAACTTTTGTTTTTAATGAGGAGAAATTAAGGGCATGTGAAATCTAAAACAATGGAATTCACAGAGTAGAATGCTGATTATCAGAGGCTGGAGGATTGACAAGAACTGAGAAATGTTGCTTCAAAGGGCACTAAAGTTTCAGCTAGACAGGAGGAATAAGTTTCTGGAGATCATTTATTGTATACCATGGCAATTATAGTTAATAATAATAATACACTGTCTATTTTATAGTTGCTAAGAGTAAATTTTAAATGTTCTTATGACATAAAATGAGAATTATTTGAAGTGAGACTAGTTAATGAGCTTGATTTAATCCTTACACATTGTGTGTGTATCACAACATCACTTTGTAGCCTCTATATTTATGCAATTATAATTTGTCAGTATACAGAAAAATAAAATAAAGGTGTAAGAAAACCAGAGGGTATATTCTCCACCACTGAGTTACATCCCATCTTTTTGTTTTTAATTAACACATAATAACTTTAAATTTATGGAGTACAACATGATGTTTTGATGCATGTATATGTTGTGTAATGATCAAATCAGGGTAGTTAGCATATCCATTAACTCAAAAATTTATTGTTTGAGTTCAAAAGTCTTCTTTATCAGCTGTTTAGAGATACACATTATTATCAACTACACAGTCACTGTACTGTGCAGTAGAACACTGGGAGTGTATTCATCCGGGCAGTAACTATGATAACCTCTCCACCCTCATCACCCCTCCAGCTTGGCTAAGGCCCAGATCCTGTGGTTCAGCAGCAACTCCAGTTACACCCCATGTACTGCTCTCCTGGAAATCTGTACACTTGGGACTGGAAATCATTCCAAAAGGCAGCCTGCTAATTTCCACAATGTTGTCTCTTGCTTTCCAATTTAAGACCCTACATCTATTATTGCTTCTAATAGCCTTGGGGTTTAAAAGACAGGCATTTTCATATTTCTGTCACATTAAGAATAGTTCACGAGGGGGTGAAGGGAGGGCAGGGACAAGTGGAAAAAATGAGAACCAAGACCTGTCATGTGAAGGTACAGGATCCCAATGATGAATGTAACTGTACTGTATACCTAAAATGTACCAATAAACTCAATAAAAAAGAAAAAAAAAAAGAATAGTCCACCACCTGCTCTTCCTCACACCAATGAACTCAACAAATGCCGAGCCACCCCTGGGGTGTCTGTGAGTGTTAACTCTGCTCAGACTCTGAGAGGTCACTTGTGGAAGTTAGGTGGCTTTGGGTCTACAACTTGAACTTTAATTTCAAGTAATCTTATGAAGAGGATAAGCAAAAGTTAAATGTCTGACTGCAAGGAACGAGCTAGTCATGGACGCACCAGTTGCATAAAAGCTACATATTAGGCCCCATGAGTTCTGCTCTTCACTCTCTTGACCATCAGTGTGTTTCAATAGATTTCTTTTTAGCATCCTATCATTAATTGGTAGTTAAAAGTGAATGAAATATAATTTATTTGGTAAATGGCTTACATAGTTTTTTTTTTCCTTTTTGTTTTTGAGGCATTGCAGGTTGAATCTAGGGAGCACTGAGCTACATTGCCGGCCCTTTTAAACTTAAAAAAAATTTTTTGAGACTGGGTCTTGCTAAGTTTCTATGTTTCCCATGTGGGACTTATACTTGTTCTGTGTAGCTGGAATTATAGATGTTCACCACCATGTCCAGTCCCAGTAAACTTTTCTTGATTCTTTCAGGCATTGTCATTTCTTAGTATGATTGCAAATGTTTTAGGAAAGACTTCATCCCTTAGTTTTTCAACCCAGTTTATAGGTCAAGAGGAAAAAAACCGTTTCTCAGATTTTGTACACCATATGTTGTAACAGCAGAGGACAGATCAAGATTCACTAACCAGCTGTCTTAGTTACTTTCCTCTTCTATGGGACAAAATACCCAAAATGCATAGGTTAGAGGAGATTTAATCCTCACCATTAAAAAAAAAACAGCCTTCCCACAGGTCTGGGTAGCTGCGGCCTTTGTCGCAGGCCCAGCCATCAACGCCCAAGCACCAGCCAACAAGATGAACCTGGGAGAGAGCCTCTCAGCAGGGACATTGCAGTGTCCCACGCCCACATGGACCCCACCCATGGGTCTGGGTAGCCACGGCCTTTGTCGTGGGCCCTGCCACCAATGCCCCAGCACCACCAACACTCCCCCCCCAGATCTCCTGAATGTGCCAGTCCATGGACCCACTCTGCAGAGACATAGCTGGTTATAAAGGGTGATTTTCTGAGCTCCCAAATTCGAACATCTGTAAGAAGGGGCAGGGGAAACCTGTGATAAAACTGTCTGAAGTTCAACCCTGCAGGAGGTTGGGGAGCTCAAATTGGTCCTTGTGGCCTGAGGTCAGTCTGAGACATGGGGCTCTGCCTTCAACTAAATGAGATAGGGGGATATGGTTCTGCACATGGCTGCACATGACATGTATTATGACAGCAGAAATATAGTCTGAAAGAGGCCCTTCAAAGTCTTTTTTTTTTGTCCTCTTCTTTCTTTTCCTCATTCCACTCTGTAAATTCTTTTTTCTATCCTCTTTCACCAACTCAGTCTCTTGCACCACCATGTTGGCCCTCACCTCCCTTTCTGTTCCTGCTCCTGCCCTAATTCAGATTTCTTCTTTTATCATTTTTTCTTTTTTAGCAATGTTCTCTTTTTTCCATCATTGAGCCTCACTCAAAGGTCAGTAGTTTCAAGGGAAAGTGAGCCCCTATAGCTGTTAAGGGGATATATTCTTGTCCTTATACTTGCAGTCCATCTATCCATTTTGAGTTTTACAGTTTCCTAAAGATTGTGTGGTCACTCTGCATCCTCTGGCTTCACTTGAAACCTTCTCCAGTTCTTTTACTTGTTTACTCTTCTTGTCCTAATTAGGCGTAGGCCCCCATCCCAAATAGTAAATATACCATATTGAGGAGTTTGTCCACTGCAAACATATTTTGGGCTGCTTCCTGATTTTAATTTAATTCGCATGATTGGGGGGTGATGGATTGATGACTACCACAAGAGGTCAATTTGCAAGAGGTAATTGATCCTGTTGTGTTGCTGATTATATCGATTGGGATAAGGGTTAGGGATTGATTTGACAAGTTGTTTTCTCTGATATTGTGAAAGTGAGAATGTCTATGAGTCACTAGAGAGTCAGGGGCTGAAGTGCAATGATATCAGGAAGATTTAATAACCCAGAGATTGAATGAAAGACAACCCAAAAGCAAAA